CGCTAGGTGGAAGGACAATATGTTAGTTGCAATGCGTTAGTTAACAATATGATTCCAATTACAATATAATATCTCATAAGGATTATTGAAGATTATCTCCACGAAAAGACGATAACTTATGTGGACAGTATCAGGATAGAAGAGAATGTGACGTGCGGTGTTCCTCAAGGGTCTAGACTTGGGGCCATTTTTATGGAATGTCCTGTATGATGACATTCTAAGCATTGACCTGCCTAAAGATACGCAGCTCATAGGCTATGCTGACGATACGCTAATAATAAGCCACAGCGTTTACATTGAACTCCTCGAATTGAGAGGGAATGAAGCGCTGTTTAGGGTTAAAGGTGATTAGATAGACGACAGCTACAGATGGCAGTGCAAAAAACCGAAGTTGTCTTAATCACCGACCGGAGAGCGTTTCACTACCCAGATCTCCGATTGGGAGGGGAGAGAATCAACTGGAAGCGCCAGATAAGATATTTAGGAGTCGAGATAGACCATAGTCTCAGCTTCGGGCCCACATAAATGTGATGACAGGAGCTAAAATCGCCAGAATGCTACCGAAAGTCGGTGGACCGAGAGAAGACAAGAGAAGAATGATATCTGGCATAGTTCACTCAGTTGTATGCTGCTTTAGTATGGGCGGGTTCGCTGGAGAAGTTGTCTATCAGACACAAGTACGCCCAAGTACAAAGTCGAATGATCTTGAGGGTGGCGTGTGCCTACCGCACAGTATCTACTTGTACTACAGTGCTGGTATTGGCCAGTACACCACCTATCAACTTAACAGCCATGAAAAGAAAGAGGACGTACCTCGCCTTGAAGGAAGCACAAGCAGGCAGTCATCCCCTCCCAAGCAAATTGAGAGTGTTAAAGCAGAAGCAAGAAGTTTCTCCTTGAAGAATGACAAGAGTGTGAAGGGCAGTGATGGGATGGGAAAGGCAGATGGACTCATCGGTTGATTACAAACATCGAGAGATGGGTTAGCCGAAGTTTTGGGGAGGTGAGTTATTACCTGTCCCAGGCTCTTACGGGACATGGAGGATTTAATAAATACCTCTACGATTTCAGGATTGTAGAGAGGCCCACATGTAGTCTCTGTCACGCAGACATAGATGCAGAACACACATTATTGCATTGCAAGGCATGGAACGCAGAACGAGAGGTCTGTAATGTCAACCTCCAACCAGTTATAAACCCAGACACCATGGTCGCTATGACGTTGAGCTCGCAGAAAAAATTTAAAGCAATAGAGAACTTCATAATTAGTATTATGAAGAAAGAATTAATACTGAGGAAGTAGAGCATCTGCTGCCAGCCAATCTCCCGCGTGGGAGAGAATAAGGTTTAAGACACAGTGGTGTAACGTATTAGCCAGCGTGCCTCATGACATCTATTTGGGGACGCTTGGAAGAGGATTAGACTAGCCACAGGAAGAAGGGTTTTTCCGTAACGGAGAACGGGAAACGGGAGACACAAGGCTTGGGAGTTTCCGGCTTATTAAGAGCTTTTCACTGTTATAACAACGAGGGTGCGTGACGTAGTACGGTTCACGTGGCCTCGCCTATATACAGACTGTTACAGAGGCCAGTAGTAGGTTCTGGCAGACAGGTGGAGAACCTTCGTGCGTGTGCACAAAAACTTGGCGAAGAGGGCATATGCGAGCGGCCGCAGGCTGGAGTCCACTAGTGACGAAGCTGCGGATTTAGGTCCTTGGTGGACTGTGTCACGGGGAGCCCGTGCCTGTGTGCGTGCTCCCGAGGTGAAGATGGTTGATGCCACGATTCACGCCCGATTCTCAATGGAATAAGATTCGCTCCTGCTATCGAGGCAAAACCAGCCGTTGTGCGCCAGAACGACTTTGCGTCCCAGCGTGACATCCTGGTCACGGAAGCTAGCTTTGTGCTCGCTTCAAAAAGTAGAATGCGACATGTCACAATCAAAACCATCTTCATCGGGTTTGGATCGCTCCCGCGATCAGTGGGATAGTAGTCTATCAAGCTAGGGTGTAAGTAGATTATTAAGTGTATCTATTATTTGTTTTGTTTCTGTAAAAATATATCTTGTTAACGAAAAGCTCTTGTGCTGTGCAGTCGCTGTGATCATCTCAGACGTCAACGGGTAGGTTTTAGTTGTACCAGTTGGAGTCCGACATCACCAGCTTTCACTTGTAATCCATAAAGAATATTCCTCCTCCATGAAATAATAATAATAATAATAATAATAATAATAATAATATTTATTGAGTCACATATACAATTACAATCGTTAATGACGAGTCAATATGATGTCTTTGGTGGAGAGAGCGAAGTTACATTACTAATCAGGAACCAAACAAGAGGCCTTCTCAGAATTTGCTCAAGACACCAGGGAAACTGAACAAAACCTGATCGAGATGTCATTGGCGTAGGGATTATATTACAATACTTACTACAAATAGATTAGGATATTATACAGTACATAATTATTTTTAGTAGCAGATTATTTAAAATTAACATGTCATTTAAATGTTACTAATTATAATATTAAAACAATACATAATATCAATTCTGTTAATAACTACACAAAATGTAACAATATCAGTACTTTCTATGTTTAAAACATGAAATGGTGAGGAGGAGGAGGCAAGTTTTGACCAGTTTTTTCTATTTTATTTCAATTTATTTTATGTGATTTGATGGGATATGGGATATTTTATTGTGATTTGAATATTCCTCTACACTGTAGAATATGTTAAGCAGGAAAGCTGTCAATTTACTTTTAAATGTATGAAGTGTGTTTAATATCATTGCTTAGTTTGTCGTAAAGTGAAATGCCCTCTATTAGGGTACTTTTTTAATAAAGTGTAGTATCAGAGAGGAGAATATGTAAATTATACTTTTGACGAGTGTTGTAGTTGAGTACATCGGAATTTAAAGTAAAAGTGTCTTTGTTTTTTCATGAGAATTTTCTTTGTGAAGACCACTATTTCAAATATATACAAGCATGGTAGAGGAAGAATCTTTAGTTTATTGAACAAGGGTTTGCAAGACTTCAGCTTATGAGTGCTGGTCTTTGTTTGCAATATTCTTGGATAATCAACGTGCGAGTGCTTTCAGGGCCATAATATTCCCCAGGATATTATTCCATATTTTAGATGTGAGTGCACATTTGCAAAATACATTGCTCGCAGTGTCTCACTGTTGGTGTTTGATCTGAGGGTGTATAGGACATAGCAAGATTTGGTGAGCTACTTGATAAGATTTGAGATGTGAGCATTCCATTTTAGGTTTTCTTGAATTGTTACACCAAGGAAGGTAGTTTCATTAGATATCGTTTCAGGGTTATTGTTTATGAGCAAAAGCTGTGAGAGGTTTTCTTTAGATCGGGGATACATGACAATTAGAGAGCATCTTGCTGGTGTTTCTGATGAGTTTGTTGTCTTGAAACCATTTTACTTGTGCTTGCAAAGTTTTGTGAGTTTCTTTTTCTAATGATTGTATTTTCGCTTTGATGATTATGTTTGTGTCATCTGCAAACAAAATTATTTTGTTATCCCTTAAAACAAAACGCATGTCATTTATGTATGTAAGGAACAGAATTGGCCCAAGAATGGACCTTTGAGTGAATCCACAATTTATCATTTGAGGGCAGGAGTAGTATGAGGAGATTTGTATTCTTTAGTGTGCTGGAGGGCAAGTATTTGGCTACGGTTTGATAAATATGATTTGATCCATTGGCCTGCAATGCCTCAAATCCCTAGCATTTCTTGTCTTCTTAAAAGTATGTGATGGCCAAATATGTCAAAGGCTTTTGACAAATCTAAGAAAAGGCCAGTGGGAATTTTCTTCTGATTTAGTGCAACAGTAATATTTCAACCGGAATACTTTAATATTTTTCATTTTCAAATGTAATTATCAAACACAATTATTCTCTAAGACAACTAAGATATTCATAAATATACACTGCAAGGCGTACTAAAATAGGTTTTGTTCAAAACCAATATGATGTCATCAGATACCTACCTCTAATGGTAAAGATATGATTGAATTTTTCAAAACTAACATTATTCTTTAATGAAAATGAAAAAATTTTGAACCTAACATGTGGATAAAGGTGTATACTTGCACTCATTGTAAATAAGAAAACATGCCTCTATCATCGCTTGTTTTCTTGAACATTCTATTCATGCAATTATATCCCTCTTTATTCACTTGTTTCATTAAATACTATAATTGGTTTGCCTTGTTTAATCCATAAAATTCTAATCGCATCCCCTTGCTCACTGAGTAGAAGATGCCATTCTTTTGGCATTCTTTCTTCACTGAAGATGGATGTTACTAACTAGTGTATTTGTTTCCATAACTCCCTAGGTCTGTTCTAGATGATTTCTGTAGGAAAGTCATCTTCGCCCAATACTTTGTTATTTCTTAATTTTTTGATAGCTCTAAATGTTTCATTTCTAGTTTGTTCCTTAACTTCCACGTCAGGTCCCCACATAACGTTTTCCACTGTTAGTGTTGTGGTTGTGTTGTTCAGTAAATCATGAAAGTATTCTGCCCATTTTCACACATCTTTGTCTCTGGCTGCTATATTGCACATTTTATTCTTACATAATACTTATCTTGGTTGGTATCCTTCTTTCCCCCTACTTCATCTGCTGATGTTTTAATGAATGTTAATATTGATTGCTACATGCTCTCTATTCCTCCGTGTTTTTTTATGCAACAAGCTTCTTCCATCTCAATGTGCTTTTGCCATCCAACACAAAACTAACATCCTCTAGCCCTATGTAAAGCAGAGTAACATTGCCTGAAGCCCTCTCCCTCTCTTTAGTGTTACATAATTTATGGACTATACTTAACCCCTGCCCCCAGAAAAAAAATAATAATGAAAACACACACGCCAACCATATTTTATAACAAAGAAATTTTGATACAATTTGTCTGTTTGACGAGAATGTAAAATGTAAATAGGGAAAACATCACTGTATATTGAAGAAGGAGATGTATAGTAATTCTTAACTAATAAGTTCATAAGTTTATTTATGAAGAATTTTAGGTACAGAAATTTCCAAAGAAGAATTTGTATTCCTATTTGTTTGTTTGAAATTCATTTTTTTTAATTTGCTAACCATGACCTTTTGTTGGCAACAGAATAACTTAGGTTATAAGTGGTGAAGAACTACGCTTTTAATATGAGAGTATATTGTGCCCCTTGAAATAATACTGCAACAAATTTATTGAAAGCGTTTGTAATTGAGGGTACATCAAATTTCTCAATTAAAAACTATAAAATTCATTTTCTTGGATGGAAACAACACTATACAAACCTGTAGAATTTATAGTTTAAATAAATATCACAAAGAGTAGTAAGTATAAAAATGTGTGAAACTGCATGGAGCAGGTAAATACAAAAAATATATTTTTCTGTTATACAATTATCTTGTAGTCGTATTAAATTGCTTATAAAAGTCATCAGAAAGGTTTGATGTATATACATATTTATTAAGAAAATGCTGTCTTTCTTTCTGTTCTACAGATAAAATTTTGTTTTGTTCTACAATTTGTTTTTCAATTTCCCTGAAAAAATAAATAAATAAAAGTAAAGCACATAAAATTAATGAAAATCCAATAATTTATGTTAATATTACCTTTGACATCTTCTGTTTCATATTTGTATAGACAGTCAAAACAAAACATTTGGATCATTTCAAAACACACATTTTACACATTTATTGTTGGTAATGTTTTTCATTACACATAACACATAAGGCAAGACGACTTCAGAGATTCTGTCCTCCATCTTCAGGTACATCCATTTCATAATAACATTATCACAATTACTGCTTTAGGTTTGTTTATTGGAATCATCATCACTTTTTGATGAGATTTCACAATTCTTTTAATAGTTGTTAGTGTTGCATCAATCCAAACATTTCATGTCATTTTTGAGGTTTTAAGAAGCCTCAAGTAAGAAGTTCTTTTAAATCCACATGTTTTGTTTCGAATATCTGTACAAATCTGGAGCAGTAAATATTTTTTATTTATTTATTTACAAATAACCTGTAGCTAATTTAAAGATCAATATCACATTTCATTAGCACAGCAACCTAACTGCACAGTCTTAAGAATTCCTAACAATATAATTTATACAATTTAAAACAATAATTCTTTAACAGTTTTTCAAATAACAAAATCAATATAATCAAAATTATAATCCTTTAACAATACAAAATATTCTAATACTAATTTTCCCATTGAACCAAACACTTGATTCTTCTCTAAATGTTACCTTTGTTTTTTGGCACGTTCCTTGTCTTTCATGAAAACATTGTAAGCTATTCCATCAGAAAGTTTATTCCATTCTGCTTCTAACCGAGCTTCTTCGGCACGTTGTGCCTTAAATCACAAACAACAGAGATTATAATGACAAAGAATTATAATAGCATATCTTGGAATGCAAATAGTTAGTGAAAGACAAAAGAAAAAATACTGTAATCATCAATATTTCATAGAAACTAACACTCCATCAATGTTTTCTTCCTTGCAAAGCGAAATTTAATTTCACGAATATATCTTTCATGAATATATTGAAAACAGTGGAGAAATCCAAGAATATGGATTAACCATTTTTGAACCCATTCAATTTACTTTTAAATAAATTCTGATTCATTCCAATATCACAATTAAGCTTTAAGTAATGAAACTCAACATTTTTAAGGGAAGTATATAGGGAATATGAAATAATGCATCTGCTACAATCTATATGAACAATGATAATAGAAAACATGTCAGAGCAAGGTAGGATGAGGAGAGTCAGAGTGAAACTGAATGGGTGAGTCAGTGCAGAAGATGGCAATAGAGGAATGCATGGACACAATACAGATGTAATAACTAATTTCTTTCCCAGCCTAGCAAATAATTGTGATGAATATATACCTTGTCATTTCCAATCATATTAGCAAGTTTCCATTAAATCTTTTAAAGTACACAGCAAGACAAAAAAGGGCTTGAAATGTTTTACTAACTACTCAGGAAGTGGTGAGAAATCAAAGAATTAGGATCAGGTAATTACATAGAATTAATTTCCCATGAAAAGTTCAAGGTTGAAAACTGATATTCAGACAATTCTCTTAGCCTCAATATCACTACTACCCAAAAGGTGCAATTTAAGATAATAAGCAATTGTAAACATACAATTTTTTCCTCTATTTGCTGACATTGTAGTATACGAAATTCCATTCGTTCTTCTTCAGACATTCCCTTGTACATTGAGCCTCTTACACGATGTGGTCCAAGGCTGCTTTGATGTACATTACTATTTTCACATAACAAATCTCCCAGCATTGAATGACATACTTCTGCCATATTGTCCTCTTGTTCTTTTCGCTTCTGAGCATTGTCATATTGAGCTCTTTCATCAGCCTAAACATAAATTTTTATTTTTTGATTAGATTACCTCTTTTTATGGCAAATAAAAATATTACACACAGGATTAAAACTTTAAAGAAGTCTGCAAACACATTCAAGATAGATAAATGTTTCTTGTTTTTACCATAAATTTATTGTATTGTTTAACTGTTTCATTCAGTTGGCGCCTGCATTTCCTTTCAAGATATTCAATTTCACAGGATCTTTTATCCATAGACATTAAAATTTGATCATAAGATTCTTCAACACGTTTTTGTTCATTTTTTGTTGACTTTCTTTCTAAAATTTGTTGTTCCAACCATGCTTTGTTCTGCTCTTTTTGAGCCTTCTCACGATCTTTAGAACCAAGATCTTCTCCAGGAAATCTAATCAAAACAATCTAACATGACATACTTCTTTTTTTTTTGAATCACCAACTTAATATTTTAAAAATATGTTAGATAAAGAAACATAATGCAGGCAATATATAAAAAAAATATTTTGCATCTATCATAACATGTACTTTTGCCCAGAGGAAGAACCACATCTTGAGTCAGTGTCATCTACTCGGGCTGGTATTTCATATTCACGTCGAGCTTCTGGTCCTTGATAAGTGGATCTGAATACATTAATTTCCTTGTTTATTTTTCGCCTCTCCTACATAGATTATAACAGATGTCAAAGATCTACAATATATAGCTTACAGCAAAATTGAATTATGTTCAAGAATACCTCTAGGAGAGATTGTTCCAATAATAAAGCCAGTTTGTCATTTTGCACCCTTAACTCATCAAATGCATTGTTTATTTGTCTCTCTTCCAACTCTTTTTGCTTTCTTTCTTGGACTTGCTGATCTAATGCTTCTTTATCAATCTGTACAAAATTGAAAGGGAAAAATCCAACATAGGTTGAAATATGTTCATGTTATACACAGACTTATGAATACACAAATATATACAATCTCTTACACCAATTAATCTACGTCTTGGATTAAATATTCTTTCTCGCCTTTCTTCATCATATCTGCGTCTTCTTTCTATGGCAGCCGCTTGCGCTACATCACATTTTGTCAGAAGCATTTTCATAAAACCAAAAACAGAGCTACAAATTACGGTACCTAAATAATTAGGTTTTGAAAGTTTAGAAGAGGCGGCGTGTCCCTCACTCGTTGTCATAGTGACAATAAGATATACCACTTCACTAAAAAAGTAAATAATTAACATAATACAAATCCCAATGTTCTGAAGGCGCATTAATTAAACATAATTTTAAAAAAATACATTTTATAACCATAATAATTTACTATAATATGGAAATTAAGCAGAGATAATTTCTATTGTGACACATTCTGAAAGTGGTAATACTGTACTGGTAACTATTTGATTGGCATTTAGAGACATCTAACGGATGAATTGTGAACTCCACTTATCTGCACAATAACAGTGGCCGCTGCATCAGCGACCAGCGTTCGTAGTTACGCCTGCGTCTTGTGCGAGACGTGTTGTGTGTTGGGAAGGGATGTATTAACTGTGCGCGTGTGAATAATGACTACTAAAAAAACATTCGGCAATAGAAAATTCTATGCTTTGCCGGAAGAGTACCCTTTACGTGTGTCCAAAGTACGACCATCGCATACTCCCAAGAAAACTGAAGAAACTTCAAAGCTCATCAAATACATCGATGAAAATGTTATTGGCAGAAACCATACCTTCACAGGACCCTATGGCAGAAGAAAAGGTAAGAAAATATTTTATGTTCTGTCGAGGATTCGATTTTGGCGTATGCATTTTTCTTTTCGTTTGCTTGTTTTCCCACGTGTCTAATGAAATCTGTTTGTAAGCCGACAGATCGTACTTTCCTTTCCATACGAAACGTTAAAGTGTTTTTTGTCGTGAAAACAATCTCAATTTTAAAATATATTTCTCTAGGTTTACTACATCATTTTCCTGGATGTTTTTCAGAATTATTTCTGACGGAGAAGTGAGAGTATGCGACTGTGCACGTACAAGTTGTCATTTGATCGAAATTTTTACTGCAAACATTAGATTTGCGACAAGCGATTTGGTAAAATGCATATCGTCCGGGGCGAGCATCGAAAACATCGATGACAATAGTACGTCATCGTACCATTAATTTTCTTACTTTGTTTGTTTGGAAAGTTGCATGGACGTGTCTTACTGAACACGGTTCGTACACGCCGCGCGAACCGCCCTCGTGGATCCAGTTGCATTACGATTCGAGAAAGTGCAGTTCTGGCCCCCCCATACACATACAGAATATGCATCTGAGGTACCCGTTGCCGCAGATACACCCGGCGTGTGGCTCGCGAGAGACACGCAGCAGGCACGTGCTGGGCCACGTTCGCAACAACAGCTTATCTCAAGGACGCCACTTTTTTTAAGTTAATAAGAGTGTATTTAATGCCCTTTATCGGCAATTATTGTCTTACAATAAGACTTTCACATCGTCAGCAAGTATATAACTTTTCGAGCGTCTTCCTAGGAGGGACCTCGCATTATAAACAGCTTGTAATATTTAATACAATGAATATAAACACAAAATAGTTAATATTCTCCACAATTTAAATGCGAAAGACATTGGGGTAATAATTGATCTAAAATAATTGCAAATTATGGTTGATAGAGATGTTTTTTATGTCGAGTTTTAACACTGGAAAAGGATTTTAAGTTTTGACAAGATTAAATATTGTAGTGGAGGGATAGGAGGGTGGAAATATTTAGAATCTTTATTATAATTTTGAAATTCTATTGAACCCATAAAAAACCGAAAGTTTGTTTTGAATTTGATTATTCCGTATGGGTTAAAGTAGGGTTTGCGGTACACCCTTTGAGAAGTGAGGCGTCGAGTAAGGGGGAGGAGGGGTCTCCTTTAGCCCTCCCTCAAATTACACTAAAGCTCTCTGACAGAAATAAATGAAACGTACCGAAGTCATTACTAATACCTGAATTACCCTAAACTTGCTCCCCACATGGCCCCTTCCGCACGGAACACTTACGCTCATACGGAGTGGCCGCTTTCTTGCTGCACTTCCATTCGAAACCACACAACTTTCACTTGGCCAACCTCATAGGTCGCTTACACTCAACACACTTAAATCCTGCAGCAATCAAACTTCGTTCTTGCGCCCATTCAATGACAGCCAAACACCCACTTTGCCGCAACGCGCAAAGGAAAAAAAAACAAAAAAACAAAACATTATTTATTCTCATCATCGTAGCACAGACACTCAAAAACACAATTCGCAAAGAATCTGAAGAACGCAAGAAACTTAACTATACGACAGAAACAACTAAACACTTCGGCAGCTACCAACACATCACGTAGACACACGATTTACGTCCCACCACACACCATTTCGTAATGAAGTTTCGACAAGATATTAGGATGAAATTTCCCCCACCCTTAACTTTTGACGTCACGTTTTGACCAATTACGAACCATTCAAATTATATCAGAAGTGTTTTTTTTTTACAATTTATTATAAACCGCCCACGTTTCGATTTTTATATGTATGTACTAAGTTACGCAAATTACCCCTCCCCACCCTTGGACCCCTCCACCGTGGTTTTTCCCTCGCCGGAACGGCGCGAACTGCCGGTTTAGACGACTGCCTTTACGTTGTACCGTATACTAGACCTCAGCCATAATTACGATTGTTTCTTAAACAACGCACTACTTTCATTTGTTGTAACCGCCCTTCTGTTCGTAAAGTGGAATGATGTGCGTTTTGAAGGTAATGAGTGCTATTTGTGTTGGGCAGTTCTCAGCACTTCCTATCTAAGGCGTTACTGAATGTGACAATTAAATGAGATAGAATCTACTGTATTATTTTATTTGTTTCCTAAAAGAAATTTCTATAATAAAACTCCCCGATTAAAAAGTAATATGTTGCATTTTACTTGTGGGGGGGAAAAACAATTGAAGTTTAGGCCACTGACTTCTCAACAATAAGAAAAGTTGATAGTCTATACATCACCGATCCAAATAACCTCCCGGGAATGTTCTGGATGCGGGATTGCAAGGCCGATAAAACATATACTCTAATAACACATTTAATGAACAATTAAGATGATTTATGACGATGCTCATGATATGATACATGGAATTTATATTTTCCTTTGAGCAGGTTCTATTCCAACCACAAAGAATGGCTTACCGCCTCATTGAAATTACACTTGTTTTTCGTTGTCAGTCTCGGCCGCGTTCTTGGCGGGGAAAGGGGTGGGCGATGACCTCTGGGTGGCCGCAATCGACGTGGCAGGTAGTTGTGACCAGAGAGGGTGACTGTCAGCTGATTCTCGCCGGCCCGCCGACGGGCGGCGCGCGTCGGCTCCCCTGCCCCTTTCCAGGCGGCACCTCAGACCGCAAGCTAACGTGCGGGCCCCTGCAGCTACGCATGCATCCAGGCACCTTGTCGCGCCGTTGATATGACCAGTCCTTGATGTCCCCGACACATTGCCGGCGAAGGCAACGTGGCGATCAAAGCCTATGAATATCACGTAAACATTACCGGCGAAGGCAACGTGGCGATCAAAGCCAGTGACTATCACGTAAAGGTGGCTAAGGCACTCACGACCGTTGTGATAATTTAAAGGCTCTTAAACACAGGAAGTAATATCTTCCTCGACGCTTTGTCATCTGAGTATTCACGTAAATGTCGAACTCGAAGCACTTCGGTCATTAGTCTGTGCACTCAAGGCGCTCTCCTAGTGATTCTCAAACTCTATCTCCATCACATCTGTCTCTATCTCGATCACATCTCGTCTTTATCTGCCTTAGCGGCCCTGCCTTTCAAGTAACGAAAGCTCGGAACTTCCACCTTCCGCGCGAATCACTCTGATTGCTCGGTGTCTTTCTTTTCAGGTGCGAGAAACATTTTTGATCGGTGCGACACCGGACGCATTGAGCGGGGTGGTTGTCATAAAAAAAACACGAGGCGGCTGTTCTTGGGGTCACCTTTCCTAGGGCTGGTGTGCTGACACCTCCTTTGTTTTGCATGGGAGCGGGCAGCCCTGAACCGGGCGAGTTCCTCCCTCCATTTCGCGGTCATAATCCGCCCACACTTAAACAAAAGTACATGCCGCCGCCGTCGGTACCCTTGTCTGTGCCGCGGTGCCCCTAACGGTTCAATGTGCCAGCCTTGGAGCCTCGCGAAATCAACAAGTCTTTATTCTCAGAGCTGGCGTATCGTTACAATAAATGACGAATTAGTGAAGAGTATTAGTGAAGTTTTAGTTCTTTATTACAAATACGAAGCTAGACATTTTATCGCTTGGTCATTTTTTAATGCATTGTCATTTAGAATCTTATTTTTCCTGGCGAATATGCAGAAAATTACTTTGTAAGAATTAGTGCAGTTGATAAGTCATTTTGCTTTGCAAACGGTGAGGTAGATTTTATTTTGTTTATATTATTAGTAGTAAGAAAACCGAAAGTTTTCCACCTCAAAATACTTCGGGAAAAGTTTTGGTAACCAGAAAAAGAAAACAATTTCGGCCATTTGTTTTTGTGTAATAACTTTTTAATGTTTGATCGTAGTGTAAAATGGTTATGTACAATTTTAAAGGTAATATTATTCTCTACATATTTGCTGTATAAATTATTTTTCTCGAGGAAACAGTAATAGAGATAAGAGATTTTTAAATATAAAATTTTCCTTTTAATTCGGAAGTTGTCACTAATTACGAATGGTCTCTAATGCATTTTTGGATTCCTGAGATCATTATAAATAAAAAGCGATTAAATTCAAATGTGTTTAATACTTAGACAGGTACAACTCGCATTTCAAAGTTCTGGTAAGTGGCAGTACACCTATTCGCTCTCTGAACTACCAGAATATGCTTATGTCAAAAGCATTTAAAAGAATAATGACATTATTTTATTCTTTAGTTTATAAATAATAATAATAATAATAATAATAATTTATTATTATTATTATTATTATTATTATTATTATTATTATTATTACTATTATTCACAATCCCAAGGAAGGCTGCCCTATCCCCAAAGAAATTTTATGCACGAGGTTATGGAATTTTCCTTGCAACCATCAAGGCGAATGAAAATTGGCAAAATGTATGGGGTCCGAAAATTACTAATGAGGATTGGGTCACAGAACAAGCATGGTACTACGTTTTCCGAAAAAAGAAATTATGCAAGCCGACAAGAAGAAAAAGAAAGCAAAGGAATTTCGCTTAGCCATGAGATCATGCAGTTCATGTATTCTTACCTTGAAAACAAATCTGACGTATGCCACTTTCTTATTGATAATTTGATGGGCGAATACCACACAATAAAACCGTGCCTCCTTCAAAAGTATGGAGAAGACATTGATTAGTCAGGAATTAGTCAGGTCGCATGTGTTGTATGTTTTCGAAATGTTGACTGCAAAACATTAATTGCTATTAAAATCGTGCTATTAAAATCGTGTTGTAACTTGGTTAAAGCATGCTTATTCCGGGAATAGTTGCTTCCAGCGTATGGTCGGAACAAGGATGGATTCAATTTTTACCAATAATGGCCGCTTAACCGTAGCTTAACTAGTCCTTGTCAAATACGGAATCAATTCTTGGCAACGTTGCTTCATACACCATCGGTGGCGTATTTACTTTTTTCTTAGATAGCTCTTTAAGGACTTAGCGGGAACTTCGCATTACGTTTGAACAGAATATTTCGCATTTTTTCCTGAATTGTGTAATGGCATTGGTAGTTTGTGGTCTCATATTGATAAACAAATTGTTATCGAATTACGATTTTTTGAATGCTGGTGTCCATTTAAAAAAAATTAAATTGATGACCAAAAGCGCTTATGCAGGTTAAGGATAGATAAATGATTGTAGAAAAAGAAAAAGCAGTTTAAAAATGAAATCTGACGAATACCATGAGTAAAAAGAGTGAATTTGTGAAATTAATTCTTATAAATTCTTTATCTCAGCTCACAACTTTTAAAATTTACTTATTTCACATGCATCTAAAAATTTTGCTTTAGAACAAAATTATTTTCCAAATCCTTGAATACATTAGCGTTTCTTTAAGAGCCTTTCCCATCCTCTTTAATTGAAATAATTGTTTACACCTTTTCAATTCACTTATTTTTAAAGAAAATTGTATTTATTCAAATATAGTTAATAAGTTATTCTTTTCAATTGTGGGTAATATTATTTACCTTCAGATTATGTGCTTGTCATATATAATTATTGTAAACAAAGTTAAATTACCTGGAAAAGTTTACAATGGAATAGGCACAAAATAAATATATTAAAAAAAAGAAATACTGTATTCTAACTTGATTGTAGAATGTTAATGATTGTTGCACAATAATTGTTAGAGAAGAAGAAATCTTCCATTTAACTTTATTACTAATTAAACTGCAGTTTCAATTAATTTTACTCATGTCATTAGGAACACTTAATTCTGAAATAAGGATAGAATGTTGTTTTATTTTAGTGCTGTATAATTGGACAATGCTGATGTTTCTGAACTACTTTATATTGAATTTATTACCATTTGATTTTCCTTCTTATATGAATTATTGAAGTTAAATTGTTCAAAGCAAGTCCATGTCAAGTTGAATTTTTCCTTGCTCAGAAAAAATTAATTGGTTTTCAATTCTTGTTGACTTACAACTAAATGAATACATGTGTTAATAAGTGAGCGAGTGAGATTAGTTTTTGACCTCTATTAGATGATATTTTATCTCAAGAATACCTGTTTTTTTATTTATTCACTTTCTGAACCTTTACCTTCCAAAAATTAATATAAAAAAACAACTAAAATTCTTGTTTATGTTAATAAAATAGTTTTGCCTTTTCTTACTACAGTATACCTTAAAGGCAGGCATCAACTTAAAACAGCATTCAAAAATAACCCAATATCAAGATTATTTTTTTCTACTTTAAGACTGTAATTGATGAATTAAAATACTAATTTCCATGAATAATGTTTATTAACGACCAACATCGATACTGATATGTTCATAACCATTGCCTACTAAATTCACATTAAAACATTGTGACAATAATTGTTTTTAATATTTAGGTATATTCCAAGACTGGTTAGAAGTTCAAATCTATTATTTTGAGTTCATAATTAACCAGTCTTTTAGTCCGATACCTGGGGAAGCCTCAATATTTGTGACTTTTTTTTCACTGTTTTTATGTGAATTTGGTATGTAACTTTTAGTTATCGGATGTTGGTTAAAAAATATTATTTACATGTAGTTGGACACAATTAATCCTTTATTAGAAGTTGAAGAGAAGGTTCTGCGGAATTATATTTGGCATAACAATTTTTTTATTTACATTGATAAACCAATGTATGCCTTTCTTATATTACTCCTAAAATAATTTCTGTTACTGTGCTTTCCTAGACATTATTGATGTTGCAGAGAGGGATGATCTCTGACAATCAATAAAAATAGTTTGTTTTTTTTAATATTTTTTTTAGAAAAAGTAGTAAATTCAGATTGAAAACATGCAAGACACAAGCAGTATTGAAATTAATTGTAAAGAAATTGTTTTCCCAGAACACTTCACTAAAATAAATTTTCTGTATTCGTGACTTATAAGAGAGAACTTATAAGAATTTATAACCAAAAGAATTAAATGTTCAATATCTGCAACACTGGAGCATATTTATAACATAAAAATTAATCTATTGTCAGACACATAATACAAGTACAACTTCTATTTGAAATTAGAACATTCATCAAATGGTAAGTCAATTATGTATCGTACATTTATTTTAATTATTATTTTTAAGTGCTCTCCAGAAGAAAAAATGCGTGTAACGCGTGTAGCCAGGATCCATGTTTTCTGGGTCCGGGTGCAATGCTAGAGGCAAAAAGTTCAGCGGATATTCTCCAAAATTGATATTCTCAAATAGATCTGAGATTACTCGGCCCCTTGAAATTCAAACCGATATTTTAATTTTGAAGAATTCTTTACTCAGAGGGATCTTTTTTTTTACTCTGGGATAATTTCAAAATTCTCAAAGTTATGGCTCCAATGTTTTTATATTTGTTGACATGGAGTTGTTTTTATATTTGTTGACGTGGAGTTGTTTTTATATTTGTTGACGTGGAGTTGTTTTTAATGTTTGTGTTGACCGTGGAGTTGTTTTTGTGTTTTGTGTTGACGTGGAAGGTTGTTTTTTTATGTTTGTGTTGACGTGGGAGTTGTTTTTTTTAATGGTTTGTGTGACGTGGAGTTTGTTTTAGTTTGTGTTGACGTGGAGTTTGTTTTTATGTTTGTGTTGACGTGGAGTTGTTTTTTAGTTTGTGTTGA